AAAGACTAGAAAGACGTCGCACGTGGAGGAAGATGATCAGGTGAAGTGCACCACTCGTGCCCCAGCCGATTGAAGACGTGGGGGTCGAGCGCTCACTTTAATGAGATAGTGATTGCGTAAAACTTAGCATCTGCATCGCTTGTCTAGTTGCCCCGCCGATAGTCTATTCTCATCCTGTGCTTTTAACGATCAACTGGAGGACTGGATTAGGTTTTCATCAGAAGTAAAATGGTATCACGATGCACTGTTATCTTTGTCGCAAAGCGTCCAGTCTACTGAAAGAATTCTTATCACACAATGATCGTCAACATGCATAAGTATTTAAAGCACTATTAGTCACCGGTTTTGGATCACAAAAACTCGCTACAGGGTTGAGGTCATGATAGGAGGCACGATACTGGAGTGATCACAGCATATATGAGGTTTTATTCGAAAAGTGACAACAACAAGGTTGCACATCAAGGATGGTATTTCCAAACGGTGATGCGTAAGTGGAACAATCCGGGAGACCCACAGGATTAGACAGCTTTATCACGATAGAAATATGCGAGGCGAGTGCATCAACATATGCACTTAGACGTGTGCATCACAGGCAAACAGACGTGCGCACGCACACATGAGGGTAGTATTGTGAACATGTACGGACACAGCCGGACTAGTGAGTACTATTGTTTTTGTTGCCGTCGTTGCCACTGCGATGACGACAAGGTAGCGCGGCCCAGGGGTTGATTCTCGTGCCTTCCGGAATTCTATCGCTTTATTTGTCTGTACGTTTCAAAACAATTTGGGCTAGTGTGATCAAGTCTGGTCGAGTATGTGACCTTCACCCTAATCGTTGAATGAAACAATTGTAAATAAGTGTATCGACTAGCCGACGGAGACCGTGATGACGGTCGACAATGGTAGGAATAATACGCGTGCGTGAATGAAACTTGAGAAATGCGAATGGCATGGCAAATAAAGCCAACTTTAGCCTGACATCAATGATGAGATGCATCGAAATAGACGGTAGATTAATCCTTAGCGTTATTATTAAATTCGGTTTGCTAATATAGTACTTATCGGATAGACGAAGGTCACGAGACGGCTCATCGAAAGGTGGCTTAGGAAAGAATAAAGGGAATGAAAGAGACCCTTGTGATCAAATTAGAGTACATATCAATGTGTTGCTATTTTTAAGAAGGATTTTTTGTTGAATGGTTTGAAGACAGAGGGTGAGATAGAATTTATTGCTTAGTTATAGTCAATAAACAGCAACAAACTGAAGGTGTTGTTATTATCATCATCATCATCATCTCAGAGCATGCTTTGCGTCCACATAAATATAGTCCGCTTGATAATATATTCCTCAAACTGAAAATTTATGACACTTGTGTGTTCTTTTTGACTACTAGTTTCCGTAGTTCAAATTTAAATCATTATTTAGCATGTAATGGAGACGTATTGCTACTTCCCTTCCTAAATCAGTAGCTAGATATCGTGCGCCTTGTGTGAAGTGTTAACCGAGTTCACATTTATGAAATAAATTGCACAAGCCAATCCCATAGAAAGTCACCGTATTGCTTCACAAACCACTACATGAGCGAGGTAGGAAAGGTGCACTGGTGGTGTCAAAGTGAGGTGTTCAGTTCCGTCAGTGGCACGGATACTTAACTTCTGCACAATGAGATGGTCTTGATGTGTGACCATTGCACAAAGAAATACAGTGAAGAGAACCAGGCTCTGATCGGCACCAAGTTAACAATGTGTAGAAGGTAAATGTGAATGTTGAACGGAGATATGCAGTGAGTCTGCTGAGGGAACAGAAGACGAAAAAAACTGTGTGGCTAACACACCTCGTGACTGTATGTATACATCTCCGCAAACAATAAGCACTGTGAAGAAAAGACGAGAAAAAGGCCACTGTTATGGATTCACTATCACTTTGTCGGTGTGACCCGGTCAACTAAATAGACTTTTTAGGACCCCAGCCCGAGAGCTAAACAATATTTTAGCTGTTAAATCTCTCCGTACAGTTGATTACGACTTCGCCCATTCTGAGTGTGTAGAATATGAAAACCGGCACGATACAATATCCTAGACGTGAGTAGCATACATGTTCTACTACTACCGACTTTATCGATTGGTTGTTCCAAGTATACGAAACCGTGCCTCGCTGACGTCAAGCCATGGGCTCCATCGCACGTGACAAGCTGTATAAAAACTGATTGTTGAAAACCTTGAATCAAAAGATATCTTTCACACACATGCTGAACATCTCCCGAGCGTGCAGCAGTGACCGCACTTCGACACCATATATGCAACCGTTTAAGCACAACAAAACGTCACATCCATACCGAGAATGACGTAGTCTGGAATAGATGTGCGGTTACTCCTTGCTTCTCTGCCGTCGTTCGTCGAATAGGTGCGTAGTGGGGAGAACCAATAAACTGCGATCGAGTTCTGATGACCATGCTCCAAACTATGGTTAATTGAAACCCAAACTTCCAGTAGTTATGTGTACTTTGAACGGGAAAAGCAACTACTATTTCAAAACATATTTGGCAAAATACCAAGAATGTTTTGTCTCGGGAAAAATATTAGGACATGGCTGGGTCACGTATT